GTTCTACGCGGCCAGCCATGCCGTTCGTGAATCAAGAACGTCTGGTGCTTAAGTTCCCTATAATCACAATACAACGAACGCGCGCTTGAGGGTTGCGAGCAATCTGTAAGTTTGCTTTCGTAAGAAATCCTCGCCGGACTGAAACATGGTTGATGTTTGGTATACCGAGAGGTAATCATTTAACTTCGTAGCTACCCTCCTCGATCTTCAGAATTCTTCATATCCTACTCAGCCTGTGTAACATGAAATCCAAAGGCGTTCATGTCCAGCGTACAAACTTTAACACCGAAAATATACGTGGCATATCATACTTTTTTTAATCAAATTACATTTTTAAACACAAATAAAACTTTATTTCAAAATTTATATCGTATCAGGAGCCCATCATATAAAAGATGACTACTACACAGCTTTTCAAAACGTCAGTCATCGTCAACAACATTCTTATTTCAGAATTACATTCACCCGGACGATCACATTCCTCCCACTTTCAGTTATGACATAGCCCTGTGTTAAAAACATTCACTGTCTTCATTTCGTATTTTATGATGAGAATAAATGCAACAACTACTAAAAGACGTAGCTGGTCAGAAAATTACACCATAATTATAAATTTGTATTTTATAAAACTTAGTCTACTACTGCGAAATTTTTAGCATGCGAATACAGCAGTCTCTTCTCGCACCCTGACGTTAGGGAACTAGGTTTCGCGGGAGAGAAAACGTCTCTACCGGCGAGATACGGCTGTACTTGCAGGCTAATATATTTATTTTTTCTACACCTTAGCAAAAATATAGACTATAAAAGCTTCGTGCACGCGCATGAATAACACGCGATTTTTCCAATTCCCGGGCTGGCTGCCGCTCATGCTTATCGCGTCTCCTCTCGCAGCTGCCCGCAACCTCGTTCCCAGGATCCTCTCCTAACTGTCACTCTCTTGCTCCGCAGGGACGTGTTGGAGAGAACCCTGAGAACGAGGTTGGACTGCCCGCTTGCTAGTGTGCACTCCCAGTCCCACTATTGAAGACAAATTAGAGACAGCTAGCGGTCTAGATGAAATGTAAGTAAAAACACGGCTTTAGCCGTTCAACTAAATTTACATCACTTCTAACAAGTGCCAAATTAATTCTTTAACTTACTAGGTTTAACCTCTGATATCTCAAATAATTGTTAATTGTTGCCTCATCGTCGTTGTGAGGTAATGAAAAATTACCTGTTTACCATTAAATACTAGCCTGCGTGCAGACGATAACTAAACTCTGATTAGTACCGTCTGCGAAGCAGCGCGGAGATCCTTTTTCTGGACCCCGAACCGACTCAACGAATTACCGGAAGTGCGTTTCGAATTTCCCTTCAACCTGATTGGCTATTATCAGTCTTGCGACAAACAAAACAAAGGTCTTTTTTAACTGGCCAATCGTGGTGCGTACTCAAATCTGGGTACACAGCTGGAAGTCCAGAACAAGGATTTCGGCGCTGTTTCGCAGACGGAGTTAACCAGAGTTTAATTTCGTCTGCGCGCAGGCTAGNTGCCTCATCGTCGTTGTGAGGTAATGAAAAATTACCTGTTTACCATTAAATACTAGCCTGCGTGCAGACGATAACTAAACTCTGATTAGTACCGTCTGCGAAGCAGCGCGGAGATCCTTTTTCTGGACCCCGAACCGACTCAACGAATTACCGGAAGTGCGTTTCGAATTTCCCTTCAACCTGATTGGCTATTATCAGTCTTGCGACAAACAAAACAAAGGTCTTTTTTAACTGGCCAATCGTGGTGCGTACTCAAATCTGGGTACACAGCTGGAAGTCCAGAACAAGGATTTCGGCGCTGTTTCGCAGACGGAGTTAACCAGAGTTTAATTTCGTCTGCGCGCAGGCTAGGAAATACCGGTCAGTTTACAATTCGGCGAAGCATAAACAAACTCAACGCTGCCAAATTTATTGCGGAAATAACGTTTAACGATAAGTCCCGTTTACCTATAAACGGCCGCGAAACCGAAATAAAAGGTGGGTTTGAAGGAATGGAACACGCATTTTTTTGGAACATTTTGATCGGGAAAACAGGGCCACCTTTTTAGACGTTCCAGTGCTCCTGGCAATTTTGTACTTTGTGTTCCATTTACTTTCTAGCCGGAATTTCCGCAAACTTTTTGTAAATGGTACCCATCGCTACCTAATGTTATGTTGTTTCATTAGTTTTCTTTACAATACAGCTACCCACTAATTTAATTGCCCCAATAAACACCGCACCCAATCACAAGAATGCGGCGTTTATTCGAGAATTATAAGAAAAAACGTGGTCTGTTTTACATAAAATCTATCTATAAATGATTTATCTTAATTGCTGTCATTGTTTTAAGAAATGCAATTTTAAAATAAACGCCACATCGGAAACGCTAAAAACTCAATAAACGCCATAGCTACTACGTTCCCATTCCTTTGTCGAAAATTCATTGAGTTTTTTTTCACCTGCAAAGACTTTTTCTATTAAGAAATAGTTCACATGTCCGACCAGGTCATCGTTTTAGTCGAATAAACGAGAAAAAATGTCAGACATACTTTTAAACCGTTAAACATCTAATAATCCCCACTCAAATAAGCTCCTCACCCTTTTCTGGGGAAAAAAATTTAACTGAAGTTACGATCGTCGCCGTGGTGATTGCAATTAAAGGAATTGCAAATAAACCCGAAAATACTTTCGTGACTCCAACGGGATTCGAACCCATGGCCTCTACGTTAGCGCTACAGTGCTTTACCACGGTTGCTTTAATTGCACAATCACCCCTGCGATGATCCTATTTTCATTTAAAAAACCTTACACTACAAAATAAGCAGACATTCGACACTACATAGATTTAAAATTCCAAAAAGTACAGGCAAAATGATTGTCACTTTATCTCATTCCGTGGTCTTTTTCTGTGCTGAGGTGGGTTTCCTGTGCTAGCTGGAAATCACTGACGAATCAACCCTCACCTGGGCAAGATAAATGTAAAAGAAGATATAAATAACGAGTATCCCTTAAAAGTCAGGTCGTCTCCAAAAACCCATTATTCCAGAGAAAGTTTTCAATGACACAAATAAAACATCACTTACGCCTAATACAACAACGCCCGAGTATACGCTCCCGGTGTCGCGATGGGCGAGTGAGGACCACATTCACACAAACATAAACTCAACATGGCGGATTTTATTCTTCACATGCCTCCCCGTTTCTTTGCACGTGTTTTCGGGAATCCCGCGGGGGATCCCGTGTTACTTAAATCTCGCGGAGTAACGCTTCTCCGTGACACCCGGAGCGTCTTGTTCCTTGATGGCCTTGGACAACCAGAAATATGCCGCACCCATTCCCCATNCACAAACATAAACTCAACATGGCGGATTTTATTCTTCACATGCCTCCCCGTTTCTTTGCACGTGTTTTCGGGAATCCCGCGGGGGATCCCGTGTTACTTAAATCTCGCGGAGTAACGCTTCTCCGTGACACCCGGAGCGTCTTGTTCCTTGATGGCCTTGGACAACCAGAAATATGCCGCACCCATTCCCCATACATCCCTACACCCTTTGAGGAAAAGGCATGGATTTAAGACAATTGCACGGCGACGTCATTTTACTACAGACATTATTTCAACTACCAGAATGCTTCAGTTTGTTTTTTTTGTGTGTTAATTAAGGCTATTGTTGTTAAACTTCAGTGGGATTGACAATTCAAATAAGAAAACAAAAACAAAATGACTTTGGCAGTTGTAGTCAAATGTCGTCATCGTGCAAATGGCCTATTGGGTGAAGCTAGAAAATGTTACATAAGCAGACAGTAACATGAGTCTTAACAAAATTTTACCGTGAGAAACAAGTTTCTAGCGTTTACAACTTCTAGCCTGTTAAAAAATAAAGACCCTCTCTATTTTGTCTTAAAAGTCCGCCGAGCGCGCATGATAAAAATAAAAACAGCGGGCAATTAAATGGCCGCTAGCGCAAGCGGGTAGGGGTCGGGGAAGAAGAAAATAGATTTTTCTTTCTCGCGCTCGCCGATAATCGAAAATAAAAAAATACAGTAGGAAACGTCTGTGTACAGGCAAACAAATACTGTCATGTCAAACCACGCGTTACGGTCACCCGCCTAATGCTTACAGCGGACACTTCTGACTTGTTTCTTGCCCAGTCAACAGACTCTCATAGAAAGTCGACCTCGCTAATAAGGACACTTCATTATCAACTATGTGCTGTAATAAACCTTTCCCCCCTCATTGACGGCTTGTTTATATTCCCAGCACTACAGTACAGCGCATAGGATGAATTGTAGATGTCAATTCAGACCATTTTAGCATCAAACGAGTTATATATGCAGAGTACGGTTTTGCTTTAGTAGTATAAAAATGAACGATTTTTAGTATTTTGGTGGATTTAGTCCACGAAATGACAGCTTTGTGAGAGATGTTAATTTGACGATGCTAATGTTCACTTTTATTTTTTTAGTATTTTTGTTTTAATAAAAAATGTTTTTTGACTTAAATAATATGACCCGCTTAACACAGACAGTTTTCACGACCCCTTTGGTGTCCCTATAGGCGAATCCTTGTTTACATTTTTTGCCCCATTAGCATAGGCTTATCATTATCTGATGAAGCTAATAAAATAAAATTTCCGAATATTGAAAGAGCATAACAATTTCAGTTATCTCTGAAAATTTGAGCCCGATAAACCAAATAGTTTCAGAGAAATCCTCTTTGAAAAACCCCAAAATTTACAAAGAATATCTGAGCTCATTAACGTTTTGCACCCAGCAATTTAGCAGTTTTTAATTGCTGTTATTTTCTTTATTACTGATTGCAAAGAGCTAAAACCTGCACAAACTGCATAAATTAGCCAGCTCTTTTAATTTTGAACCTAATTGGTAAATACAGCTACATCTTCTATGGGTTAACTCATAAGCTAATGAGAAAAAATTTACACAATGACGTCACGATGAATCCGCCTATTAACAGGGTTTGACTGTATAAACAGATAAAATATTCCACAAAAACCATACCTCTTATTTTGGTGGCTGTTTTCAATGCATTCATGACACAGTCGTGGCAGATCTTCTCTTTATTGCAAGTAATGATTTTCATTTTCAGCTTTCTTAAATCAGCCGTGTATCTGCGGGGTTGGCATTCAGCTCTTCTTTTCTGGTAGGCTTCATATTCAATGGCTGCAATTATCATTGTGTAATTCATCTTACACACATCTGGAATGTATTTCAGGTTTTCTCGAACCACCTCTTCAAGCAGAGTGAATGCATTACCTCGTATCGCATCTGGTATATTTGGGTCGCCAGGTTCAATGAGGCTTCTACCTTCAACCTCCATTGGGCGTGGCTCATTGCTCGCAGCTCGTTTTTCGCTCAGCTTCTGATGATACATGTACTTCTTTATTTGATTAGGTGAAATTTCTAAGAGATCAGAGAATGAAACATCTTCATCATCATCATCATCATCATCACCACCACCAGAGGGTTGCTGACTTTCTGAACGACTACTTTTCTGAAGACTGCAAAGACTGACATCAGCATCATTTACATTCCCCTGCTGCTGAGATTGGAGCACACTTGCTGGTCTTGTTAAAAGCCGTGAAGTGTACGGTCTTTTCCCTCTGCTTTCTTCATTCACACCGACATCTGACTTAAGTGCCTTGCATCCCTGTTTTGTAGAGATGACAACAAGCAAGCAAGAGCACCGGGACATTGCAGTGTACAGCAATTCCTTGGTACCGATGATTGGGTCATCCTGGAAGGGAGGGTTATACAAGATAACCACTTTTGATTCCATGCCTTTAAAGCGCCGAATACTTTCCAATACAGCACAACTGAGAAACTTCTCAACCAGGTCATCACCAGTTTGACACTGCTCTCCAATGCCTTCAATCTCAGGTTTCAGCAGCCTCTGTTTATCTTGGTTTTCAACAAGAATGCAAATGTCCCTTGGACGGACGCCTTGCTTTTCAAGTTTCTTTATCCATTGGACGACTGACCTAGCACCTTCTCTTTCCTCACCACTTCTCCTGACCAAAGAATTGTCCCATTCAATTGGCAGACCAGGTAAGCCATGCCCTAATGTGATTGGACTGTCATCAGGCAAAGATTCGTAGTACTTCATTGACTGCATAAAGACATTTCCAGTGTTCCGAAGAACTTCATTGAGCTCTGCACTGTTAGAGAGAAATGCAAAGTGTGAATCGGCCTGCTCTTTAGCAAAGTAAAGGTGTTGATTCAAATCGTACATCACCCAGAAGACACCACGTTTAGCCCGAGATTTTTCTTTGTCAAGCTGGAAATTCTTGTGCATGTGCTGAATAAGCTTTGGCCAGTTCTCGCCAAAGAGGTCTTGGCCTTCATCCACAAGGATGTGGTCGTACATCGAATTAATACCCGATGGTGACTCTGCCTGGGTCTGAAGGTTCTCCAAGGCTACGTTGACACACTCTTCTTTCTCCTCCTTGTTCTTTGGGGTCCAGGGATAGCAAGCCAAACTTTTTACAAGTGTGGTAAATGTCTGAAAATGTAAGAAAGATCTCACATCTTCATTTGCTGGCAACTGGCTCTTAATTTTTTTCTCTAAATCCTTGCACAAGACTTGATTATAGCACAGGACCAAGATCTTTTCCTTTTCCTTGCTATGGTCCTCAAGTATGCCTTCCGCCAGGGTTATTGCTTTCTCAATCAACAGAAAGGTTTTACCGCTGCCTGCTGGTCCCCTGATCCACAAGACAGGAGCACTTTTCCTTGCCAGTACCTGCATCTCCTTTTGTGTGAGAAAAATCATGTACTTGTCATCATCATTAATGCGTAGACCAAGGCAAGGTCTCAGGTATGACAGTCCAACAAATCTAAAGATGAAAAGACCCAATGATCAAGTTCTTTCAAATCACATTAGCAGTATACTTAAATTTATTCATTTTAACTGAGCAACTTATAGTAGAATCCTTGTAATAAGCCGGCCTTGATTTCATAATATCTGGGCTTATAATATCTGCTGGGGCTGTAAATCCATCCTGTGAGTTAGTGAGAGACACAGTGGACAGAAACATTTAAGGAAGAGATACCGCAAGCTCGTTAACACTTGTTTTGTTGTTGTTGTTGTTGTTGTTAAATAAATAGAGTGTCTGTCAGTCAAAATAAATGCTTGCACCAGTCCCATTTGTCTTACAAAACCAACTAGGTAATCACTAATGGCACAGCACCGGTAATTGCAAACTAATGGAAGCTATTATGATGTCATTACTAGAAAACTCTGCCATCCAAACCAAAACCTCACGCCCCCCTCCCCACCCCCCCCCCCCCCCCCACCCCCCCCGCCCCCCCCCCCCCCCCCCCCCCCCCCCTCCCCCCGTGCCCGCCCCACCCCCTCTAACTATTTCATCTGTCCTCTATTTCTTTTTTTCATAACATTTTTTTTTTTTACTTTTTTTTTCTTTTCTTTTTCTTTATACCCTCCCATCTAATAAAGTTCTTAACACTAAAAAAAAAGCTTGCACCACTCCCCCTTTTCTTACAAAAACAACTAGGGAAAAACCAATGGGAACACACCCGGAAATTCCAAAAAAAGGGAAGCATTTTTATTGCCTTTCTAAAAAACCCCTCCCCCCCAAACCAAACCCCCCCCCCCCCCCCCCCCCCCCCCCCCCACCCCTTTCATTAGTGAGCTTACACAACAGGGCCGAGTTGTTCGAAGGCCGGTTAGCGCTAACCCAGGGTTAAATTTTAACCTGGGTCTCTTTTTCTTTTCATTAAAAGCATTTTCTCGGAAAATTTTCTCTACTCTATTTAGAGTATTTAATCATCAAATTGTACACAAAAAGAATTAAACTGAATTTGCTTTTTAAGCTTTCATATCTGAATTCAAATTTTGTACTAACCCTGGGTTAAGTTAACCCGGCTTTGAACAACCCGGCCCAGGACGGTAGAGGGAAGACGGCAGACCTTGTGTGACAAGCGTGACCATAATTTCGTTTGAAAACACCTTCCGCCAAACTTCACATTCCTATAACAGATCTTTTTGTAGAAGGGCAAGTAAACATCAATGTTAAGAGAATTTCCAGCAAAACACTCAAGTAATAGCCCCGTCACGTTTGTCAGACACAAGAGTTTTGCCGTCCTCTTCTTCCTGCCGTCCTGTTGCGTAAATCACTTTTTTAAAGAATGCGAAAGACGTCAGCCTTAAGACTACGGAACACAATTTCCTTGGTAAACATGGTATAACAGAATAATGTCCCCACGTTTCCGTGACCTTTTGGCGCAATCACCAAAGAATGGAATTAAATGTGAGTTCAAAACTTCAAAGGAATTAAAGTACTCTAAATCTATAGCTGTAGTTACTGTATATCGGGCATAACAGTGAGGGTATTATCAACATATCTGCGGTAATAGACACTCCAGGCTGCTTGGCCCCAGCTCTAGTTTTTCTCCCAATGATTACATAAACACACATGCTAACAAGGAACACACATGCTAACAAGGGCCCGAGGGGGTGACTCCATAGCCACATTACTGATTTGCTTTAGCTTATACAGGGCACCATTGAACTGAAACAATTGACCCTTGGTGGCCACGCTCAAGATATCAACAAGATCGTCTTTAGGCATGTTTAGATCGTATGTAGAGTTAAAACCAGTTTTTCCTGAAGGGCTTCTCGGAGAGGATCTCGGCATGTTGGTAAACAAACGAGCTCAAGCGTGCCCATCCCCCCGGGCATTTGTCATCTTGTCGGTCCCAGCGATGGGATTTGTCAGAAAACCTCTGCCCGGGGGTGGGGCATTTGTAAATTCTTGTAGAAGTGGCTAAGTCGTCCCATGCCAATTTAGACAGCTTTAGATATTTCTATAAAGAATATTTTTAATACATATGCTTTAAAAAAGATATGTGTGGTTTTCCCTTCAACTCTTCCCTACCCAACAGAATTTTTTGCGTCTAAGAAACTGCTTCCTGCCATCGTGATCAGTTCGCACATGGAGGAAAAAAACAATCAGTGTACCGTTTGAAGAGTTTAAAGGAAAAGACAATTTCTTTGTGCGCGAATAGTTAAGGCAAAAAAAAAAAAAAACTTTGCGAGATATATTTTGAAAGCTAGTATAAACTTTGTGTATTGTACGATCAATGCCGCGACAATTAATACGCTGTCAAAACGGTTCTATCTTGTTGAGAAAATACACTCATTTTAAGCTCGTCGGTTTTTTTTATCATTCACTAAATTAAATATCTTCAGAAATAATAAATAGATTTTGCCAGGGCTAAAAACGAAGCTCCCGTTAACAAATTCATAATTTAAATCAAACAATAAACTTGTAATCCACAGATCACGGCACATTCATGTGACTTTTGAGGCAAAGGCCAAGGGCACCCAACGACAAAATATCTGTTCGGAAGACGATTTGAGATCTAGAATTTTCGGAACAAAATTTTCCAAAATTTCTTGCTTGTCCGCCTCTCCTAGGATTTTCGAACATCTAAAAAATGGTATAATTGCCCATTTTTGACGGATTTCTACGCTAAAAAGGTCACCTACAATTTTCGGGAGCCTTTTTTCTGGCCGAAATTTTCGAATAGGTAAGTTTTGATCCCTATAATTTTCGAATCACTAGACTTTCAGCTAGGAAATCCGTACAGATGAAAAATTTTTAGGGGATAAAAATATGTCTATATCTACCGCTTTAATACCAAAATACGTTTAACAATGCTACGTTTAAGTGGTTTTGAACTATATTCTCGTTGGGTGCCCCTGAAAGGCTAAGTGATTTTAGAGAAAAATAATTTGACAGTCCAAGAGTGAAACAAATTTTACATCGAGTTAATAGTCTTGTTCGTACACCCAAAAATAGCAATCATGTTCGATCACAGTAGATTAGGTCTGGAAAACAAGTACACCTATTCGTGTATTGTATTTGCATTAGCTGTTGCATCATAATGTGGCATTCACCAGTCTCTCCAACATTGCTCCGTTTGAGAGACTATGGATAATTGGACAACCCCGAAATAGACACACACGCGCCTCGATTGTCCTTGGTGGCAGCCAATTTACATGTTGCATTCCTCTGTCTTAAAGGGAGGCCAAAATAAAAAATCAGGCGGGATTTTTTGTGTTCGACAAGTTTACTTTACAAGTAAGTAAATCTTGGCGACGAATCTGGTGGCGTGTAAACCAGCCTTTTAAACATACTTTTTCTCATCATCATAATGATAATTTACACACATATAGCGCAAACCTCTATATGAATATATCACGTCTCAGGTAAACAGTACCATGAGGCCCTTTTTTATCATACAGACCTCGGACAGAATTTGTCCTTTTTTGCCCTATTTAAACCTATAATTCTGCAGTTTTTCACAATTTTGCAGGACAAATTGCACTCATTCAATATCCAGGACGATCAAAGCACGCGCTTTCTTTGCACAACAAATTATAGCATTGACCACATTTTAAAACGTTTTCATGAAGAGAATTCCATAATGCCGGGACTTTTCAGTTAGAAAAATCTGGTCCTATGTGATATGCAGGGTAATAATTATGGGCTTTTAGTGAAAACGACAAAAAAAATTCCCAAAATCACCTTTTCGGTTAGCCGGACGGGTTCTCACTTTTGACAGGCACCAAATTTGCAGTGCGATTAATAGAGTTACCATTTACGCTTTAACATGATAGAGAATTTGTTATGTTTAGGTTTTATTTCCCTTTATTTATAAAACTGTTTATGGTTTTGTTATGTGTAATCTTTAAAAGCGAGTGATATTTACGCGCGGCGTTTTGATTATTCCTGCATGCGATGTTTATGTTCGACTGGAAGCAACCGGTGCAGCGATAAAAATTGCGAGAGGGACTACTAACAATCAATAAAATAAATATAATTCGGTGAAACATGTACAGAGACAACAATTTTCATTCACGAAGACAAGTATTGAGAGTAAAGTGTCTCTGAAAATCATGAGTCAGGTAAGCATAAGCTTATTTATGTTTTAAGCCGGCTTGCCGGTGTTTGCTCTTTTTCAAGATGAACTCGAGACAAGAAAATCGCTCAGAGCTTTAAGTTTACAGCCAAAATCTTAACTAAATATTCTTCGGAACCTTTTCTTTGAATTTGGGGTCAAAAAATGTCTAAAGGCTTTTTAAACCTGATACTATTGTAGGTTAGATCATTGCTCGTGTATAAACTTAGGCCGCCTAAACCATACACTCGACTTCAGGAAACCGAAAAAAAAAAAACACATCAAAGACAATAATTGCTCAGGCTTACCAGTCGAGATGCTGCTTCTGAAGGTCATCAAGGTTTCCAGAATCGTCTGATTTTGACAGCTGTCAATCTAATCGTACTCATACGGATGGCTTACATAACTGAAAGGCTAGTCAAGTTGTGCAAGATCTATTGTGACATTTGACATCGGCTTATATGAAGTGTGTGTACGGGTGTACGGGTGGGCGGGCGTACCTACGTCATAACCAAATTTTCTCGGATGGATAGTTTACCAAATTTTGTTACCCATGGTGCTCCGCTGCGCGCGAGAGAGCTCCGCTAAGAAAGGCATTATTAAAATACTAGTTTACAGTTCTGTCAGTGATATTAATCAGATCAACGTAATCTTTTTTGCAATAATTATAACTAGCGGCTATAAGAGCGATTTGCGTAAAGTGCTTCACGCGTTTTGAACAAATTATTACACATTTCCCACGAATATGGTATTTGCAGCTTATTTACAGGAAAATGTAATTTTGGTGTTGTCCCGGGAGGGACATTTGTACACTTTTTAAAGTCCCACCGTGGGGCATTTACATTGACTGCTGCATATATATCTATTGGATACTTTTTGACGAAAAATGATCGTACTCATCTTTCCCTGCTGCGCAATAAATGTGCGCGAAATGTAGGGTCGTAACAACATTCAGCCGGTATCTTGTCTTCGATGTACTGTTTTCGAAACGAAAAACTGTCCTCTCAAGAGCGACATCGAGGCCAAGGAACACGTTTGTCGTACGTCGCACCCAATATACTTCATTCAGCTCCAGAACACAGGGTGCAAATGCTGGTAGTGAACGTTAACAAATTGGACAAAATGCCTCTGAGGCCCGTTTCAAACGTCGTGCTACTGCCGTGCCGAACTCAATTGATCGAATTAAATTCGACTTTAGCACGGCAGTAGCGCGACGTTTGAAACCAAGTGGTGCTACTGCCGTGTAGCACGGCAAGCCTTGTCGTTTTACACGGCAGTAGCTCGACTTGGTTTCAAACGTCGTGTTACCGCCGCGCCGAACTCAATTCTTAAACTATAAATACATTTGAATACATTTAAAAATTTGCTAAACCGTTTCTTTGTTTTTGTGTTTTGTTTTCGTCAACAGCCGTTCTATTCGACTGAATTAAATTCGACGTCTGAAACCAAGTCGTGCTAGTGCCGTGCTTGCAGTCGAGCTACAGTCGAGCCAGCTTAGCACGGCAGTAGCACGACGTTTGAAACAGGCCTGAGACACTTCTTAAGCCCAAATTGACACATGCCTATACAAATTGCCCTCCTGTTGTTTCATTTGTATAGGTAATTACATGATTTCGAGTGCAATTTGAGTTAAATCAGCACAAGTAAATTTTGTGGTCCCCGAAAAAATTACGAGTGCTGATTTACCCCAAATTGCACGAGAAAAATCATGTGATTACTTGTTAATAATATATATGCAAAAATTTGACTTTCTTTTCCTCGCTTGTCACTGCTCCTTGTTCCCGCCTACAAATGACAACCTTGACCAAGATTGGTCATAATTTTTACAAGTGAATATTGATGGCTAAAAACGCAGCAGCTAGAAATTTGTTTTGTCATTTTACGTTGTTTTTTTTTTAACTTTTCATGTTTTTCCACTGCCACCAAGGAAAAAAAACACAAATGTGTACAAGATTCCTTTGTTGTGTTTAGTCTACTTGGGTTTTGGTTGAGGTCGCAACCTTTTTACCGATATATTGAATTAATTAGATTTAAGGAATGGGGCATGTACTCGCTCAGTATTTACGCGCGCTTTTCGGGCCAATTTTTCTTAACGGTTTCCTAGAGTAAGATTGTAATGGGAAAAAAGATCGTTGTGTTGTGTTTGGATGTAAAAATGATCGCCGTTTTCCCAAGAAATATATGGTGAAAGACCATACCAGCTTCTTCGAAGGAAAACCAGAAGTACATTTCTGGCCTTGGAAGGACCCGAGGCACTTGGGTACGTGGACGAGACTACTGAAGCTTAAGGGATGTAAGGTGAACGAAAAGACTGAAGTTTGCTCAAATCATTTTAAATTTGGAAGACCAGTCGACAGTCATCCTCATCCCACGCTCTTTTTGAAGGGCTATGATCGGGAAATAGTAACACGTAAGAGAAAAGCTCCCATGGAAAGGCTTCCAGTGTAACCAACTAGGAGTAAGAAGAAGAAGAGGTCAGATATTGATTCTAAACGCGAGTAAAAAAGGAATTAATTAATATTATGGACATTCCGTAGAAACTGGTATCGTCTTTAAACATATATTTCTCGGGAAAACGGCGATCATTATTACATCCAAACACGGCCGAACGATCTTTTTTCCCATTACAAATACAATCTTATTCTAGGAACCTTTAAGAAAAATTGCCCCGAAAAGCGCGCGTAAATACTGAGCGAGTACAATGCCCCTGGGCATCCCATATTCCTTAAATCTAATTAATTCAATATGGCCACTGTATTGTGGTTTCATCGATGGCTGTTTTTGTAGTTCATGCAGGGTTTTACAGCAGAGTAACGCAGAAAACTAAAGAGTTTCTAACCTCACTTGCTAGCTTTGAGGAGTTGCATCTCAGGTGAGTTTGAGTTGTTGTGTAGTTCCAGAAAACATTCCTAGAATTGCTTGCCTTACCCCCACCCCCCGGAATTTCCGTAATATTTCAACTTGGTTGGGTACCCTCCGGAAAGAATATTTGTGTCAAAAATGTTGTTGCACTATACTATTATGCGAAATATAACTTTTTCTGCGATAAAATGAGAAAAAAAAATCTTTTCATTCATGTTAGTACAGTGTCTTATAACCTCAAGGACGTTCCTAAGTAATAATTAACCATAGAGGCAAACCTTACACTACTGACTACACGAATATCATCTGCAAAAGAACCAGTTACATTCAAACTAAACACCAAGATTTTCATTACTTCGACATCTTACAAGAAAGCTTAGAACACGACCAAATTACGGTGATTCAAATGTGTAATAACGCAACAGCTAGATAACCGGAAGTTCATTCATGAGCCGATGGCAATTGTATTAAAGAAAACTATCGCGTAAGCCGTGAATAACGCAGTTAGCCGACCGTAGATAAAAATGATGATCAATGCAAACAATAATACTTGTTTTGAAACACCGGTAACAGTAAAATAACTGAAAGCTTGCTCAACATTAAAAAGCCGGTATTCATTAATAACTCACCAATCTTACTCAGGCCCCCTGAAAAAAACCTCTTTAAACAACCGCCCTGCCCCACCCTCTCGGAAATTGTCTCCTTTTGGACACCCCTCCTCTCGGAATTGCCGTTGCCCCCCGTGGGGAAGTCGGGAGGCGAGGGGGGGGGGGGGGGGGGGGGGATTTTTTCGGGAACTAAACATTACATTTTTTTTTTTTTTTTAACGGTGGAAAAAAATTTTTTTTTTCCCCCCCGCGGGAACCCGGGGGGGACCACAAAATCACCCACCAGAGAAAAATATCTTTTTTTTTTTNATAGGATTTGTCCGGATATTCTAAGTAAAAGAGCAACATCCAAGAGGCCTACTTGCCAAAAACTAAAGTTGTGGGGCAAATTGTCTCTGAGATATTACCGTGTAGCATGATAATTTTGCGGGAGTTTTATTTTGCGGATTGGCCATTTTTTGTGGTTTGCGGGAACAAATGGTTGCGGTTCGAGATGACTAAAATTTCTGGTGGGAACTAATTTTTGCGATTCTCTGTTCAAGTACCAGAATATTTAAGTGGAAGAAACCTTAATATGGTATTTTGAACTTTTATGTTACGGTATGTTGAGTCAAAGTTCACTCTACTTACATATTTAATGGAGAATAATACGGTAATCACTGTAATATCTTACTGCACAAAGGGACTGAACAACAGCAAAACAAAACAAAAGCCTATCCCTACCATACACAACAAGTCCATTAAAAGCAGAGTTTTTAATTTGACTGAAGGGAGTTAAGTTTTGCGGCGTTTTATTTTGCGGGTTTTTTTCTCTGCGGGAACTAATTTTTGCGGATCGAGGTCAATCCGCAAAATTCGCAAAAATTAGAACCCGCAAAATTTTCATGCTACACGGTAGCCCAGTTATGCTCTGAGGAGTATAACAGGGCTAATATCTCAGAGATGATTCGCCCCGAAAGGCCAATTATTGGCAAGTAGGCCTCCTGGATGTTGCAATGTTAGAAGATCCTGACAAATCCCATGACTTCACAAATCTAATTTTTTATGACATCACACTTCAGAACTCTATTCTGGTTCAGTAAGCGCGCAAGGTGGTAGTGGAAAATTCTGGAAACATGTCATTGACTGGTCAGCATCCTCCAGAACAAGTTCCTTCCCCCGCCTTCCCCTATTAGCTACACTGCCATGAAATTTCTGAGTCTCTTCAAATTTCTACTCTTATAATCTTTTTTTGTAAGTCTAAGTCCCTTCAGTTTTCTTTAGAAATAAAAGGAGATTGATGTGGCAAAAGCACGTTCTGAACCCGCAGTCCTAGAAACCGAAATCCATCGCCTATACCACAGTAGTACACCACAGTGGATTCTACTGCAAGTTATGTTTTCGTTTTACATAATGTTTTGTAGTGACAAACCTAACAGTAATAGAAAGCAAACCATTTCGAGTCAGTGCTTAGCCTTAAACACTCTTCTCAGTACTTAACCCTGATCACTATAACGTTTTTGCGAAGTTTTAAAATGTCATAACCTAAGAACTTAGAAATAAAGATATTGTAAATTGAACGTTAGAAGACTTATTACAGAATAAACGGCATATCTAAGGTGGAGGCAGATGTAGTGAGAACTATATCGCTAGTTTCAAGTTTCTTACGGTGACTCGTAAGATAAATTTGAGATGATGTATGGCCTCGTGTTTAAAAAACACAAGCTATTATTTTTTAAACAGTTTTCTGACTGTAAATGACAAAGGAGAAGTTCTAAAGAAAACGTAGTTGTTGTGAAGGTTGTAAAAAGAAGGCGTTAAGCCAGGGAAGGTTTATCTAGTTAAGTATTTGCCTTCCAAATGCGAAGTAGGCTAAGATACAAACAAACAGAAAACAAGGTTTTAAAAAAGATTTTCCGCAACACTTCAATCACACTACTTTCTCCATTTTAATGAAATGAGAAAAGTACTTTTGCTTCAAGACATTTTTCATGATTTGATTAATTGTCAGTCAAGAATATTGCATTTTGCTAATTGGCTTTTGTTTCTTTCTTTGAATGTGGGTCAAAATGCCGTGTGAATGAAGCTGAAATCAGAGTTTCGTTATGGTTACACGATCGTTTGTGATTGAAGCTTACGACTGCTTGCACATTCTTCATCCTCGCCATACATGCAGTTAAATCAACTTTTTTTTTTTTTTTCAATAATTTGTGGTAATTTGAAAACCTCATGGTAATGCAGTGTACCAGCAGTTTACATTGGTGAACAAAAAATCACAAATCAGATTTCTTGGTCATCATAGTAATATTACTTGATATTTATTACATTTTACCAATAGGTGAACCACAAATCATGGCAAATATTATTATAGAACAGCTACTTACAAGTACACATATGCTAAGCTAAAGGTGAATTTTGCACCACTGTAGTGCTATTTAGAGCGAATACTATCCTTGTACAGCGTAAATCAAAGAGATCATTATGAGGGGTTATAGAAGAAATCCTGCTTACCTGATCACAAGACATTCATACATCTTCTGACTAACAGCAGGATGCCTTGAATTAGCAACATGATCATTCCACCATTTTACAAATGCCTCCAGGCTGGAACAGTCTTCCTGATATAGAGCATTATCTTGAGAACAAACTGGAGATGGACGTGGGCAATTTGGCATTGCCACAAAAGCTGGAAGATACTTAAACATCTCTGTAACCTTTTTTGTTGATATTTCTCCTTTCACCGCTTCTTCAAACCGCTTCTGCAATGCAAGTTTGCCCTTCTGAAGCTGTTCTTCCGCCTCTTTGTAACTTTTACCGGTATCAGTGGCCTTTACCTCAATATATATTGGCCCATGGATCTTGTGAATTATCACAAAGTCTGTCTCTCCCATGATCCAGGATTTTTTCCTTCCACTTTCTGGAATATGTTCACTAAAGGGACATGAATGAACCACAAACATTGGTTCCTTACGTTGGGTGCCACACTGTTTCAAAAGATCGTATATTACTTCCTCTGCACTGGATCCTTTGTTGCTCTGGTGTGATGGGAATGAATCAGGAACCATGTGGGTTCCTCTTGGACTTTTCCAATCTCGAAACTCTCTCTCCAGACCAAGGCGAATTCCCTCAACCATGTCATACCTGCCTTCATCTCCAGGGTTGATTTGCACACATTTCCCACTCAAGCCAAGCATCCTTCACGAAACGGTGGAGCTCTCTCAGAAGCCTGGATTTTGAGGCCAGTGGAAATTCTGTAAGGAACAACAAAACATACAGCTGTAAATGCCAAACAAGGCACAGGCAAGACTATGATTAGGACCAAGGCAACCATTACAAAAATAATGTAAATAATCTTTAAATTAGAGATACAACAGGTAACAAATAAAACAGACTGTACAGTGGTGTAATAAACAGGGCTGTGCTCTAGCAGAGCCCGGTGGCCCCTGGCGCCTAACTTTTGCCCCCAGGCGACTAGAAAATCTCAGATTTTTCATACAAATCATATGATGGGCACCCTAGATTTTAAAGTTGCAGAGCACTGGGCTCCCTTCATTTTTCCTTAGAGCACAGCCTTGATAAAGAATACATGTAGTTACACTTGAGAAAAAAAAAACTGGAACAAAATGCTACTAAGTCAGGGCATACAAACTGTACAATGTAGAGGTGTAGGCAAACATATATTATGTAATTTACTATTCATTGTGGGTGTACAATGCACTTTTACGGGGAGTTTCTGTAATATATTGAGTACCCTCTGAGAAAGCTGTCATTACCCACAATGCTATGAGGAATAAAACTAGTTGTTGGAACCCGCCATGATGTGTCCTGCTTAGTGTCGAGTCATGCAGTTTGATTAGTATATTCCATTTTGGTGACGAGGTGCAAACAAATTTCCTCAAACATCAACAGTGCAAGGTTTTGGGGCAACCTGAGTGTGTTGTGGAGTACAGAATGACCAGCACTGGACTGTTTAGTCATGTCGGTAAATTCATCGCCGAGCGTGAAACGTTTAATGCATACATGGAAAGAATGAAAATTTTCCTCCCTGCAAATAATATCATTGAGACAACAGGTGAGGGTAGCACTCAAGCAAATCGAGTTGTAGCCGAGGGAAAATGAGCTATATTCCTCACAGTAGTTGGAGCTGAGGTCTATTCAACTGTCAGTAATCTACTGGTGCCCACTAAGCCCAAAGACACACCATTTGTTGACATTGTACATGTCCTGGAGAAGCATGACAATCCAAAACCGCTGGAAATTGCGCAAAGTTTCCATTTTGGAACCTGAAATCAGAAGTCCCGAGAATCTGTTGGGGATTACATGTTAGCGTTGAAGAAACTGGCTGTTCACTGTAACTACAGTGAATTTTTGGATCGAGTGTTACGAGACTGATTTGTTTGGCGGACTGAGCAACCCGAAGATTCAAAACAAACTATTGAACACGGAGCACCTGACGTTTGAGAAAGCTTGTAGGATTGCCAAGGCTATGGAGATGGCCGAAAGAAACACACAGGAGTTTCACCCTACCATCAGTGAAAGCCCTCAAGTAAACCAGTTGACTGTGCAGGACAACAAAAAGACTAATCATGAACAATGTTTTAGGTGTGGTGGTAATGATCATTCAGGTCTGTCTTGTAAATTTAAGTCTGCAAAGTGTTATCAGTGTTCTAAGGTCGGTCATCTAGCATCTGTCTGTTGAAGCAAAAGTGAGCAGATGGGCACGGTCCATAACTTGCATGTATCTGAGTCAAGTGATGATGAATTACGAGTTTACTCATTGTATTCGCTCGACACAAACAGGCCTGGTCCCAGTGGTTACTCGGTAGAAATGTTGATCAATGGGAAACCATGCAAAATGGAGGTAGATACTGCTGCAGACTATTCCATAACACAGTGTATATCTGGAGAAGTTTGCAGACACACCCTTAACTCCATCTAAGGTAGTACTTACGTACACTGGTGAAGTGTGACGTAGAAAGAGAAAGTCTATGCACTAGAAAAAGGTGTAGACGCCAGCCGTGTTCTCGACACCGCCAGAGCTGAGGACCAAGGTCAGACGCACATACGCGAAGTGGAAAAGATTAGGAGGGACCACAACCTGGGAGAAACTAAAAGCGCAGAGGAGCTCAGACAACAGAAGAAGTCCTTCAGCAAAAAGTCCGAGGTTTCCAGTGATGGACACACCAAAAATCAGTACGACTGCAAAAGATGCGGATGCAAACTCCGTCCCAAACAGTGCCCTGCCTACGGGAAAGAATGCAGTAAATGCAAAAAGAAGGGCCACTTTGCTGAGCAGTGCCGTAGCAAGGCAAATGCCAATCCTTCCAGCAAGCGATCTAGCCAGCAGAAACAAATACCCGGACTCAAAAAGAAGATTCATGAAGCAACTGCAGACTCAGGAGGTAGCGAAGCAGACTTCTCAGAGTATGACACTGACAAGGTCACAGTGCAAGTTGACTCTATAGAAGCAAAGGCTGAAGAAACCAAGTCTACCAAGATGCATTTGAGCAAGAAACTGCCCAAACAGGTCACCAAGGTCTATTAAGACGAAGACCAATCATTTGATGTATTGTATGCCACTGTTGAGCTTGAATTACCAGACGGGAGTACAAAGAAGGTTCAAGGGCAAGGTCGACACTGGAGCTCAGGTGAACTTGATGAATTATATGACCTTCCGAGAAATCTTTGGCCATGATGCAGAGAGAATTCTGCACGACAGTCAAGTGAAACTCACAGGCTATGGAGGAAAGCGCTTTAGGAACCATGGGAAATTCTATATTGACTGTGTTTGCCACGATGATGTCGTTGGCCGACGCGTTGAATTCTTTGTATCCGACTGTGGCGGAAACTAATTGTTCTCACTAAAATTCCCCCGTGCAATGAAAATCATCAAGATTCTGTGTAAGGAGGAGACGGACTGCAAGGACTGCCAAGGCCCCTATGACGTGAGTGAGGTCAGAGACAGTACTGAGGAGGAAAGAGAAGTTACTCCAGAATCAGACCAAGACCCAGCAAAACCCAAGTACTCTCTCAAGGTGAGGAAGCCCATTGAAATCAGGGATACAACCAAAGTCCTTAAGGATGCCAGTGACGTGTTTGAAGGCGTCGGAAAGATAAATGGCTACCAATACCAGATCAAGATAAATGAAAAAGTCCAACCAGTGGTCAGCCGCAGATACAGTGTACCTCCACTAATGCAGGAGCCTCTGAAGAAGAACTTAGACTGGATGGTGGGCATTGGTGTCATCAAGAAGCAAGAAGAGGCAACACTGTGGGTAAGCAATGTACTGTGCACACCCAAGCCCAATGGAGACATCTGGATATGCCTAAATCCGAAGCCACTCAACAAGGCAGTGAAAAGGCCACACCATTATGCAATGACAATGGAAGATATATTACAGAAACCACACGGTTGCAAGTATTTCTCCACCCTTGACCAATCGTCAGGCTATTGGAATACTGAAGTACATCCAGACAGCGTACACCTACTCACCTTCAACACACCATTTGGACAATATGCATACAAAAGGCTTCCATTTGGGCTCCTGAGTAGCCAAGATGTATTCCAACGTGCCGTCGATGAGACATTCAGTGACATCCCTGATGTCTATTGCATTGCAGACGATGTACTAATTGCTGCAAGGACAAAGGAGGAACACGATTTGGCAGTAAACAGGATCATCCAACGATGTCAAGACTCAGGCTTCAGGCTCAATCCAAAGAAAGCAAAAACCCTATTAGAGGAGATCAGTTATTTCAGCCATACCCTGACGAAGGAGGGATTAAAACCAGACACAAAGAAGATCCGAGGGATAAAGCGGTTGGCTGTGCCAAGGAATAAGCAGGAGCTACAGTCACTGCTAGGAATATTCAACTACCTGGCAGGGTGTCCAGCGGCATGGTTGCTCAAAAAAATAGGAAAATAGGAAACTCAGGATTGAGAAAATAGGAAGAATAGGAAACTTTGCATTAAAAAATAGGAGAAAAATAGGAAAATCAAAAGTACTTTTGTCAACAAACATAGCTTCGCTGCACCCCATAAGGGTTATAATAAAGGCTACGAGTCCTCAGATTCTATGTTCACAGGATTTAGATCAACTTTCGTGGCTAAGAAGGAGTGAAAATGATCAGTAACGTTTAGTTTATTGGCTCAGTTACACTGTATTAAATCGGAATGATATGATTGATGACAGGTCGAGCGTGGTTCCATAATCAAAGGTGATCATATGGAAATTCCCTTCAAGTTGACGGCAAATCTTTCAAAAGCTTTGAAGAGTGAAATTTCTTAGGATAGAAATTTCTTACGATTGAGTTGTCATCGAAGGATATCGAAAAAAGTCCTATGGAAAGCTTTCCTTCCATTAACCTGCAATCGGTCGCTGGTTGAGAATAATTATACTTGTTTGAGTCAAAAGACCACGTAATTTTAAGTACGGAACCGGGCTCTCCGCGGTGTATGCAAAATGACACTGATCTACTTGGTACCAGATTGTAAGTGTGTCATGGTTAAGTTCTAAGAAGAACATAACACTCTGCTTAGCTATGACTGAAGACTGATTTTGCAACCAAAATATTGGATCCTTCACCAGTTGCTTAGGTATAGATGTTAACAAGGGCTCACCAAGAGAGCTAGTGCCATAAACTAAACTTTAGTCTGTTCTTTTCATGTAGCATCCAGAATAAGCTAGTGATTGGTTTTTTAAACAAGAAGCTGATTGGATGATTTATCTGGCCTGTGTTGTGAGAGGACAACTTGATCCTGTTTTCAGTTTCAAAGATGAACATAAAAGCGAGCAGGACTTCAAAATAAAATATAACATGTACAGATACTGAAATGCAGTTTCAGTGGGCTATGCAAAATATTTAACAATTATTCCTCAAGCCCGAATGGGGTCTGAGTCAATAGCGGCCGAATGGGCTATTGGCTCAGAGGAAATGAGGGCGAGAGGAATAATTGTTTTTGTAAAATCCAACTAGTTGGTCAAAAATATCAAGAATAAAAAAATTTTACCTAGTTAAAGCTAGACTTTAATCCTTTTTTGCCGCCAAAAAGCCCGCACTTTTCACTACTAGTGGGCTATAACATATAGCCTAGTAGTAGCTCAACCAATCAGAACGCAGCACTGATAATAGACCACTAGTTGGATTTTACTAATATTCAATAGTCACGAAGACTATAACACTTCATACAATA